CAGAGAGCTGCGATGATGGGGAGTATCTCGGCTCCTTCCTCGTGCGACCGTAGGAGTAGGAGTACACTTCCCCCTCGCTCTTTCTCTCGCGGCTGGAACAATCGTACGTGCGAAGAAACCACCCCTCGTGGTGCCTCAAAGGAATTCACGTAGGGGTGCGATAAAGTCAAACGACAGCTGAAGTCCTAAGGATATAAGTCAATAAGTACGTTGAATTCACCGAGACGCCGCCGTATCGAGTCCGGGGAACGAGGGAGATTATTAACGAGATTGGCGTTTATGTCTTTCGCGTATCTTTCGGGAATTCACACACACACACGCACACACGAGAGTCGCGCCCTTATCGATTTATACTTATTCTCTACCTTCCGAATACTCGTATTATTACACGGATTTAGAGTTTTATATTCTGGCTTTAGACACGTGCACAAGAAACCGTTCGACTTCCGGATAGAGCAGAGGGCGGTAGTCATAACTTTGTAGAGAAAGAAGAAGAAGGGAGATGGAAAAGGGGAAACTTTTTGGAAACTTTCTGAAAATTTTTATTTTTCGAACTTGGTAGATAATGGAATAATTCTTGTCTTTCTACAGACATTCTATCGAAACAACGTAAAAAAATTGTAGCAATACACTCATGACATAGGATAGTTATTATTTATGGAAATTAATACTTTCCATTTTTATACAGCCATTTTTATACAGTGGTGCGACAGAAATGAGACGTGACTTCGTCGAAACGAGATGGAGGGGGTGTACAAAAGTATATCGACGGCGTTGCATCTCATTATTTCTAGCATCAGTGTTTATAAGTCGCCGCTGCTCCTATTCAATAATGTCGTTAATTTAATTAAAACAATGGAGTTAAAATAATACTGGTTTGTGTTAAAATAACCAAATGTGTTAAATAAACAAACTTTGATGTACACATGGTGTAACAAAATATTATTTAACTCAAAGTATTGGTTTAAATATCATTCTTTAATATTTAACAGTGTACATATCGTAAACGACGCGCACGCCCGCGACCACAGACAATGTACATTATTTACATATTTGGATTATGGGACGCGAGATGTCTAAAGTTACTGTTTGAATATTTGATTTAAATTGTCCGAGGCTGCAGACTTTACATTCTCACTTGGTAAATCGCGATGCAGCATGACGATACCACTAAGTTTTCAAAAACTTGACAAAATCGACCGGAATTTAGTTTTTCATTTTACGATTTTCTTCCTCAAAATTATTAAGAGAATGATAAAAATCATTGGATACGCTGAAGTCTTTAATTATCAGTTAATCTGTTTGTCGTGTGCGACGAACAGCGGGTCTCGTGACAAATTCGACAAATGCGAATTAGCGGAACACGCGCTCCTCTTTCATCATCAACGTTTCGGCAAAAATCCGTGTATCCTAAATCTTCTGAGGAAAAATCTGAATTTCATCTTAACCATGTGAGTGCGGACTCAAAATATATACCGATAAAATGATCTGCGCGACATCTTGTCGTTGGCACACGATGTATTATGCTTATGAAAATTCTTTCACAGATGTCGAAGAAAAGATCAGGGACATTGCTCAAAGAATGTCCGTCCATTTTGCAGCTATTTCTGAAATTTTAATGTCTCAGAGTTTCTTCTCTCTCTCTCTCTCTCTCTCTTTTCCCTCACAAAAAAATGACGCGACTCTTTCGACAGTGCTTTTGAAAGAGCATTTCCATATGACAAACTGAATAGAAACTGTGCATTTGGAGAAATTTCGCTACCCGGAGATTTGGGGTGCAATTTCTAAGTTACATTTCCTTTTACGAACTGTCCTTTGAATCGGAACGATTTATATTCTTTTAGACGCGCTTTTTATTATCTACGTGTTTGCGCACTAGGCCTTACGCTTTTGTGACATGTGCTCCATTATGATTAATATATATTTATTGTTTTAACGTACACGGGATATCGGGGAGTAATCATTCAAATCTTTCATGTATTTTCAATTTAATAAAAGTAATGATTGAATTTGTTTTCAACGAGTAAAAAACAATGAAGACGATAGAGGAATACTACCCAGGTAGCAAGATGACGTTTAAAGACGTTTTAATGACATTAGAGACGTCATTAAGACGGAATTAATACGTCATTTGATGTCACTCTGCTACCTGGGTAATAATGCCGAAAATGACTCTTAAAAGCTATTTTTTTTCATAAGAAGCTTATATATATATATGTATGTATGTATATTATAATATTATATTATATATTGTACAATACAATATTATATATAATGTATATAATTATATTATAATATAATAATATTATAAAATGTTATATATATATATATATAACATATATATATATATGTTACAAATACTATTATTATAGAATATTATATGATTATTAATTCGTTTTCTGTCGAATCGATTTTCGGTAACTTTCCGCTCAGAGGTGGGATTCACTGAAAAAAAGGTTTGGTTATAATAACCTAAGGCTTGGTGAAATAGCTTCAACTAAAGAGTTTAGTGATTATGACGAAATATTTGGTTAATGTTAACAAATTTGGTTAATGTTAACAAATTCGGTTAACATTAACCAAATATTTCGTCATAATCATTAAACCCTTTAGTTGAAGCTATTTCACCAAGCCTTAGGTTATTCTAACCAAACTTTTTTTCAGTGTTCTGTAATTCCTGAACGACAGTTTGGGTATCGTTGCGTAGCTTTTTTTACCATGTATAATACCTGCGCAACCATACAGAAACTGTCGTTAAGGAGTTACAGAATCCCGCCGCTGCAGGCCACGTAGATCGCCTGTGCTCCACGTTGTCGAGATAGAAAAAAATGTAATAATGTCATAATATAATAACTGTACATATAAGCTTAATGACACAATAATGTAAACGACAACTACGATAAAATGTTAAATTAAAATCGTGCAAAGTCAATAAGCTCGATGTCGAGAGTCGGTGCCCTTTCGCACGGGAAAAAAGGAGCTGCGCGAGAGCCACCGGGAATGAGGGCGAGCGCGATCAGACGAGGATCGAATCCAAAGTATATACATGTGTGGATGACGTGCACATATGTGCACTTGCGCACGGAAATTTAACGATGCATACGCCGCGGTCGCGAGCGCGCGGGCCCCCCACAGCGGTCGATCGCCCTCTAAAGAAATTACAACGTTCCCCCACTGCTGGCCCTTAAGGGCCCGATTGGCTGTCACCTGTCCCCCACTCTCGCGTCGCACCCCACTATACAGCGTATATAAAACTCGTGTCCGCCACGGAGCAACGCACAGTTTGATACTGTCCCGCGTTCGAGTTGTCTAGCTGGGATCTTCGGTCGGTCGAATGTTGATTCGTTTTGTAAAGAAAAAAAGGCGACAATATAGCTGATATAGTCGAATATGGAGTTTTCGTGGGGAACTGCGGAAAATGAGGTTCAGCGTGTAATTCATGACAGTTTGCCTACGAAGCTCTTGAGAAAAAGGGATGAGAAAAGGTATAACGGCACGTTACAGGCGTGCTATTTTTAAAGTGCAGTGTACTTGTGATACTCCGTGAAACATATTTCGATAGTCTGTTGATTGGCACAGTCGATCGAACTCTAAGACGAACTCGAATATCTCCGGACTACGTAGGATCGATTTTTTCGGGCGTGTTAATTGACTTGCAGAATATCGACTTGTGGAGCTCCAAGAATTTCTTTTCCTCGATAGCTAATCGGAGATCGAAGAAAGTTCTTCAAAGTACAAGAAGTGAAATATCAATCTAAAGGCCCGAACACAATATAAAAGCAATAGGAACAGAATTTCTAACGCATTGGATTTCTATTCTTTATTGCCTGTACCTGACCAATCACAGTGATTTGATTTTCTATGACGCTTTTAGTGTTTGGTCAGGTATACAGGCAATAGAGAATAAAAATCCAAAATGCGTCGCAAATTCTGTCCCTATTCTCTGTTCCTTATTGTTTGTACATTTGTGTGATAGGCTCAACTGTGTATTTGATTTAAAATGATGAAAATGTACGTTTTTCTTGTCTCATATAAATATATCAGAAAGTGCTTATATTCAGTTAATGAACGATCAAAGAGAATATTGTAGCTCATCGATGAATAAATGTCTCGAAAATAATTAGTGTTTTATTACTGATATTATTAGCAATAAAATATCTCAGGTAGTTTAAGATACTGTACAGAGTGTAAGCGAGTCACAAATAGGAAGTGTATTTAAGAATAGATTCACGTTTTTAATACGTGTCGGTGATTTCCCGCGTTCAAGTGCGTGGCGTGACCACGTGGGTGGCGCGCGCGTGCGCGGTGAGTTACCGCGTGCTTTATGCCGCGTAGATTTTCGCGCCAAAATTTAGGAAAACGGCAAAAAGATATTGCGGGACTTTAGGAGTCGCACGATCGTAGCGGAACGACGATTAAGGTCTCGAATGGATCTCCCGATCGATCTCGAAAGGAAAAAAGAGGTGTCTACTCACTTAAATTTTAACACAGACCAAATTTACAGTTTACAGACGAAGCCACTTGTGATCACTCACGACTTGCATAGCACTCACTATTCGCTAGAATTTGCGACGGACCGACGATGCTCGGTCTGCGAAATAGCACCGATCATATATCGTTAACACTCACCTTCCACTCGCAGTTTCTCTCCGGATAAAGCAGGGGGGTTTGGGATAAGAGACTAAACTTTTTACCGTATCACTAGTCGATCACTTTTTAGTTATTTGACACAAAACTTTTACACACTTTATTTTTCTTTAAATTTTCTTCTTCCTTTATCGGGGAACGTGCGGGAAGGCCGGGATCCTTCCAGAACCCTTCGGTTACTAATCGTTCGCACTCACACGGAACCACGTGTCACCCCCGCACCCCCGTAATCCCCTTAGGTTAGGCGTATCCCCTTAGGTTTGACGCGTTCGATTAATGTCGCACGTTAAACTAATTTTATCTTACAAATGCGAGACGTTCGTACAGCTTTAACTCCGTTCGTATGCTTGCAGTTGTTCAAATACGAAGGACAAGATTCATCAAGATTCGGAAAATGAATTTTATATAAGAGCATCGAGCGCACGTGGACGGCGAGAATCAGCGCATGAGAAACATGCACATGACAAGGAGAACAGTGGCGCTCCTGGCACCTGGTACAGCCGCACTCCGCAAAGAGTAAGAGAGTGTGTTATGTTGAAATGTGTGTTATGTAAAAGAAGTTGTCCGGCGATTCCTTTTTCAATGGCAAAATGTCCATATACATTTTATCAGACGCCCCAATTCGTTCGTAGAACGTTGCAGATTTCTCGACGATCCCAAATCGAAATGTAGAAATGCTGCTTTGCCAAGGTGTTCAAGATGACTTATCCACATTGGATAACGATGGCTGCGCTCAGCAGAGAAAGCCGCTTTGCAACTGTTGTAAAATTTGTGAATCTGATTGGTATATGGTTTTAATTTTGGCCGAAAAGTACACTTCAATCAAATTCACGGATTTTGCAACACAGTTGCAAAACAGCTTTCTCTGTTGAGCGCAGCGATTTTAACAAAACAACTTCTTTCGCAATAAATTTCTTTAATAACGGGAGCTTTATGATATTAACAATCAATTTAACATCTTACCATACTAACAAGCTAACAAATCGATTACTAACCGTTCCGTTAGGAAGAATCCACCGTCACTGATGCACTGCCGCTGTACGGAATAGCGATTCGTATATGTTTTGCCTGATTACATTTACACGTCACCGCATTAATCGGTTCAACATTTGTAGTTATAACTTCCTAAAACGCATGCTCGTTTGTACGGAGAGATGTTATTTTATCTCCATTCAAAGAAATCTTGATTTTGTAAAAAAAAAAGACAGCAGATATACTTTTTATAATTTTATCTTAAGTTGGCAATGCAATCATGGCAACTAGCTTAGAATTTACATGTTCTTCAAATAAGTCTACATCTCTTCGTCAACGGATGTAGAGTAATAAAAATTGATGTTATAAAATCAAGTTTAATGTACGTTTATATGATATTTTACGTCAGTATTTAGTTATAACTACTGATGTTATCAATTGCAAAATGATGTTATTAATGGTTATGTGTAACCGTGGTCACAAAAATGGCTTAAGTTTATGCAATGTATTGATTTTTCTATTAAAGTTATTTTAAATCGATAAAAAAAGATTGATGACATTAAAAATTCAAATATATTTTAGCACAAGCTTTTTTAAAATATTTATAATTACATTTTATTTATATTTATCGGCTGGTTGTTTCGTGCAGCGGTAGCTCTGATGGATGGTGTAGTGTAGGTCTGGTGAACTTCGAGCTCCGGAGCTACGACACTTCTTTTTCATTCACGGAAAGTGGGGGACAGGGGTTCCTCCGCTGGATGAAGTTGAGCAGGCATGATTTACTCCGCTCCGGAGCTCGAAGTTGATCATCAGGCTTTTGTAGCGCGATTCTGTAACTCGTCATGCAGTATCGTTATCGTTATATTGTCGTTGCGCAGCTTTTTTATCATATATAGTATATCTGCGCAACGACAACATAACGATAACGATACTGCATACCGAGTTACAGAATCGCACTACTGGTGACGAAAAAGGTTAGCGAAAAAGAAATATCAATGCAATTTATGTCAAAAAAGGTATTTCAATTTTAGCAAAGAACTGTAGTATAGTAACTGCGATTATAAAGTAGGGAATAAAACAGTAATGTTTACTATTTATGAATTTCTAATATTAGGTTGATGATCAAACATGAAATTTACTTACTGTATCATACATATTACTTATTATTTACTTCATATAGAAAAATTTTTAGTGAAACAGACTTCAGATGTATACATTAAAGAAATATATATTACATGATTTGTTTTGCGATGTCTTTTTTTTACACTGGATGTGAAATTGTGATTCTGATTTCTAATTACTTCAATTATTGAATGTGGTGTTAATAGAAGGCATATATAATGCTCGTCGAGTTTAAGAGCTTTTCATTTAGGTGTTGTTATCTCGCCGTTTTATTCTTAAGAGAGTTTAGTTTCTGATTTATTTATTAAGTTATCAAAACTTTTGAAGAATTTGTGGCAACGGGATATTCCACGCATATGTAAATATTGTTTAATATATAATATTTAATCAATTAGAGAAAAATGCCATTATATATAGAATATTTAATAACTTTATAATTCTTTTCGCGATGTTCTCTGCGCGATGTAAAGTGTATATCGATATAAATTTGAATAGCTGGCTTTAAAGCTTACATGCAGTCGCGACATCGACCGATAGATCGTACAACGATACCGAAATTTAAAACCAAGCTATTATGCGCATCCGCCACCGCGAGATCGGGCGAGATTTTTACGCCTTCCATGCATATTCAATTCAATTCCGGATGTTGTACACGCATTCCGGGGTAGATATTGTCGTTTCCGCGATTAAGGTCGAACGACAAATCCGGCTCGCGTGCCGAGTACGTGTCGCGCAGCTGCCGCTTATCAACAGCGAGGTATACATTGATTTTAATGATGACCATCGCAGATAGCGGATACGTTTTACCATGGAAAATGACAAGAAAAAAAAGGAAGGGAATTATTTCCCTTCCCGTTATCATCCGTTATTTCAGTCTTTGATTTTTTTTTTCATAATACATGCGACACCTTGCGCGACCGGCTGTGATCGCTGTTGATGGGCGGCTACCTGCCGTCTCTTTTTCGCTCGCCCTTTCTTGCTTTCCTTCAGCGATCGCATCTATGACTCGCATGACACGCTTTCGTTTCTCTTTCCGGCCTGCTTTCAATAATCGACAAAAATCACCGGAAACTATAATGAATCACCAGGAACCGTAGATTCCCGTAAGGAATATGCTAGTCACCGGTTCGATTCTCATTTAATTGTATACGCAGGATGTCTGATAAAATGTTGAAAACCTTTCTTTCCTTCTGCTTTCTGCCCTTTCCTCTTCTCATCACTTATCTCCTCACTTAGAATTCATCTTTCTTAAATATCCTCAATTTGTTACTCCCGAAATTTGTCATGCTCCTCCCAAAGTCTCTCCCTTTAAACATCGCAGTGATTCTGTTGCTTATTGTTGTGCTCTTTGTCCAGGTGCGCAGTAAGAAAGTACGGCAACCTTTGGAAATCTACGAGGAGAACAGCCAGGATAGCGGTCATCCGTCGAGCCCTACCAGCGAGATGGAGAAGAGGCGGCGAAAATTCTTCGAGTACGCGAAGTCGCATTCCTTAACTTTGGATTATCGAGTGTTGGACCCATATTCTCCAACGCACGGCCTGAGGCCCACGAGTTCGTCCCTCTTGCGTAGCCTGTCGTCGGGATACGAGAGCATGGATGACGGGCTTGTGAGCGAGCTCAACGACATGGAGACCACGGATGATGAGGAGACGCAGCAGCTACCGAGCGGCATTTCAAAGCTACTGTCCGGCGATATAGTCACGCCCGAGGCGTCGACAGATTACGACGTCTCCCCCGACTTCTCACGGAACATGTCGTCCAAGGTCAAAAAGTGGTTGTCAGTACAGAGCGGCATGTGCAAGCGGAACATCAGGACGATATCGTCGCCGCTCGCGCGGTCGCCGTCGTTGACGAGGTCACCGGCGGTAGAAAGGACGCCTTCGCTGGCGAGGTCACCCTTGGAGAAAGTGCCGATGTCGAAAATCCGCACCTGCCTGTTTCGCTCACCAACGGCGACCTGCTCGAAGAGGACGATGATGAGGACGTACAGCTACGACGAGGCCTCGGCGCCCTACTACAGACTACAAATGGAGTTCTCACCTTCCGTCAGGCCTTACAAACGGCCGTCGGAAGACCTGCTAGAGGACGAGACCTCGAAAAGATCCCGCAAGTCCAGCGGCTTACGTCTGGACACGACACCCATGTCGGCGAGACGCTCGAGTACCTTGACGCACTCGCAAATTGCTCTGCAGAGAAGCCTGTCCGAGTCGAGGACAGGCGCAACCGAAACGCATTCGAACCTCAAGTGGGCGATCCACCGCAGTGTCACCGACAACGATCTCATCGGCGACTTCAGCAAGCCGTGTATACTGCCGCTCACGAGCGGCATGCACGCGGACCTGAAAACCATCACGTCCAACACGCTGGCGGCGCTCCTACGTGGTGAATTCGCCGATCGCATTGCCTCCTACACGATTGTCGATTGCCGATACCCATACGAGTACGAGGCTGGCCACATCGAGGGCGCGGTGAATATCTACAACATGGATCTCGTTCAGCAGATCATGTTCAATCCTCTGGCCGAGACCGTTCCCAGGATCCAGCACGACACCGACAAGCGCAACATCCTCGTGTTCCATTGCGAGTTCTCGTGGGAGCGCGGGCCGAATCTCTCGAGGGTTCTACGCAGACTGGACCGCGCGTGCAACAAGGAGCATTACCCGGCACTGTACTATCCGGAGACTTACCTCTTGCTAGGGGGCTATGAGAAGTTTTACGGCGAGCAGAAGGAGTTCTGCACGCCGCAGGATTACAAACCGATGAAGCACCCTAATCACGAGGAGGAGTGCCGATTCTTTCGCAGCAAATGCAAGAGCTGGCAAGCGGAGAAGACCAAAGGGATTAGCCAGACAGTGCGAGCAAACCTCGAGCGTTTTGCATTTTAAACGGACATTCGCTTTTCTTTATTTACATTTAATCTAATTTAAGGCTAAATTCTATCCCCCGTCGTTACTAGTCGCGAATCGTTAGACGTTGAACGTCCTCAGAGACGGGATTATCAAACGCGCGCCATGCGCGTCGCTAAAGTGCAAACGGCGTAAAGAGACTACTTGTTCATTATTATTATTATTTTTATTAATTTTTGGTTGCTCTTTGCGCTGCAACAATGTGACTGACTCGAGGATTTTTCTGCGAGTGTCTTACACTGTTTAAAATGTAGATGTAAATGCCATTCAACCATGTTTAGATTTTAATCGATCTTAATACTTAAGCATAGGAATTTAGGAGTTTAGTACAGATATCCAAGATCGATTAGAATTTATATCTAGATTGTACTTTTGAAAGATAATGAGACAATTTAGGCTATATGGTGATATATCATTGCGGCTGTTTCTACACACACACACACACACACACACACACACGCACACACACACATCCCACCGAGATCGAAATTTGTACATAATAAAAAAAAATTTACATATCGGGCAGGATTATACACTTCACGTTCATTCTGTAATTAAGGACATTCTGTAATCAAACAATGCAATTCATCCGACGTGCTGAAAAATGGCAGGGTAATCAAAGGGGTATAATGTTACGAACATACGTTGCAAATTTCTTTTTTAATGCTTACAACACCTCAGGCGGCATCTCATTGTATTATATAGGACATACGATTGGGACTTCTCGACGACTTAATCTCTTCTCTCTTTCTGTCGGTATTGCTTTGCCAATTTCTTCTAAAGCAAACGGTCGACTTTGGAAAATTGCATAAAGTGTTACCAATTATTCGTTGTTGCAATTCGATGAAAATGTATTATTAATATACACACGGAAGATTAATCCTTAAGTACTTGTGCCGGATCAGTGCGATTTAGTCGACGTTTCTCTCAATTGTACTTTTTTTAAAAAGAAAGAATGGAAGAGCTAGTCTCATGCGTGCTCCAATGAGAGGACTCAAATTTTATAAAAATTTAGCATAAAATCTGCTTTTTTTCTCTTGGATTTTGCTTTTAGAAGTTAAGGAGAGAGAATTTTTCTTTGCGTAAGGACTTGAGGATTAATCGAAAACATCAATTAACTACGTAAAATTTGTCTATCGAACCAAGTGATGCAAATACTATAAAATGTGCAAATCTTTTTGTTGTTACATTGTAAAAATTATTTTTACGTTACATAGATAAATATTTACGCCATGCAATGCAAATACGATGCATTTTTTTTATTTTTCACCTGTCAAATATTTTACACCTTTCCCATATATATTTTTTTCTGTTTCTAACATTTGTTTAGACATTTTATGACAGTAATATTATCGACATTCCTTTATTTTAAGATACTTTTAAATTGGCTTTTCAGAAAGAAAGAATTGCGAAATTCTTTTACACGATTAAAATTAAAGTACGCATAAAAATGAAGACAACATAAGTTGAGTACACGATCGAGTATATCAAGAACGAAAAAAATTAAAAATATGACTTATTTTTAACATATAGAGCTGTCACCTGATGACAATGTTTACTTAATACAAGAATTATACAGTTTATGTTTATACACATATAAATTCTTCAAGTCACGCCAACTCCCGTAAGATTGTCGATCTAGTCGTAAGAATTAGAAAAAGGTAAAAAGTAAGTTAAACTGAGATTAAAGTTAATCCGCATTAGTAGACATGGACATTAAAGTCGGCTGACATCACGACTAAAATAAAAATATTAATTACAAAAAAACTATTTGACCACAAACGTTACTCTTAAACAAGTTGTAATCTCGTTACAAGATAATCTTTTGTACTTGAATTTACTTTAAATATTAGAGAGTAAATCAGTGCACAACGGCATTGGTACGTCCAATCGAATTTGCTATTAATTAAACTATTGTCACTTTGCCGTTTGAAAAGTTGCCGCTACGATCGCACGCACATTTTATATTTTTCAAAAACAAAACGGAAACGCGTGCAATTTATCCCTGAGAATCCCGGGATCAATAAATGTAAAATTTTTCCATCTGTCAGCGATGTTTCTCGTGATTTATATACTCGATCGAACTTAAAAAAGAAAACGAAACGCGATGGACGACAGGCGCGTCTTCTCGGCGTAAGTAACATCTGTCGCCTTGAACGATGCGCCTGCAGATTCAGAGTCCAAAAATTGCAAATTTGCAAATGTCACTTGGAGAAACGCGACGATACGCGGAACGAAGCAGGCACGCAAGACGTGATCGGGAATATCCCGCAATTTATATCGAGACGCGTCGGACGAGCGATTGTCGGGCGATGTCGAGCGAACGGAGATTCAACTTCCGCCCGCGACAGATCTAGGGTCATCCGTCAACTGTGCAAAAGAATTCGCGTATTGTATTCTCTGTTGTAAATCTTGAAATTTTGAAAGACATAATTCGAGAATCCATTCCCTCTCTTTTACACGAAAATTACGGGGGTAGTTCCGCTTACGAAAACGGAAGCGACAAAGCAGATCTTTGCGAATTACGTTTCGTAATATAAAGAGATACCAAGACATTGAATTAATTAAAAATTAATATTAAATCGATCGCAATTCAAAAAAGATACGGTCTTATTTCAGAGTTGTTTGCCCAGAATAACAAATAAAAAAAAAAATATTAATTAAATTTATATAAAACTATAAAAATAAAAAAAACTTATATTAATTAAATCTTTCTCAATCATTTCATCGCATGTTTAACAACACTATGAAATGTGTGCGAGGAATACAATTTATATATATTAAAACAATTTAAGTGTAAAAAAATGCTCGAGCAAAAAATTATATTAAAAATGTTGAGGTTTTCTTGTGATTTTAATATTTTCTTACATAGTCGCGGTAGAATTATTATTTGCCAGGTAGAAAATTATTCGATTTAGATCTGCTCTTCACGAGCGCGCCCAGGACCTCTGGTCAGAAATGACGAGCCTTTGGGAAAAACTGAATAAGGAGGCAGCTCTTTAGAGAAAAGAGAAGGAGAAATTTCAGCTTTTACGCGATACCCTTGCGTTTGAAAAGATAACCGCAGCCGCGGCCTATATATGCTGTCGATCGCCGCTCTCGAGCTACAATTAGCAATCATCGATATTTAATTAGTAGCTCACACTCTTAAATTCACTCCTTTAGTTCTTGTAAAACGAGTGAATTAAAAAGAACTGAGATAGAAATTTATTTGGGGATAATTATAAATCCTTCAGCGAACGAATCTTAGAGGACTCTAAACTCTTTAATCCTCGATAGCCACACAGGGATCTCAGAGACTCCAACGAAATTTTGGAACTTTGTTTGAAACTATTATTTTATTTTTTAATGCGTATTTTTTTATAATAATTCTTTTTTTTACAAATTCTGAGATTATTATCATAATTCTCAGAAAAGTTACGATAAATTGGGGGGAAAAAACATTACAATACGTCGATTTTTTCGAAAAATGGCTGAGATCCTCTAGATCCCATCAGTGTGGCTTATACATATGCAAAAAAAAAAGTGTGGCCTGCGAAAGTTAAAATTACTAAATCTCAATTTGCATTTATGTTCTTTTCTTATATATTTCTCTATCCGTTTGGTTTAATTCTCGTCTATCCAGAATTAATAATTAACGTTTATGCGGTTTGTATTTGCAGGTAATATCGTAATGCGATCTCCTTGAACGGCTGCAAGCAGTTTGCATTCTGTCGTTATGTTCTCCAATTCCTCGTCGCAGAGGCGCTCGACCTCCGACAGCTTCTGCCTGTAGACGTCGACAAAAATACGTTTGTACGAGTTGTAACGTTGCTCGGCTTGCTCAACGGAGTGCCGTTCAAGGAGATTGATATTACGTCGGAACGAAGAATCAGGGAACTCGCGATACTCGAGTACGAGAAGAATCTCGCCAAGTATCATGACCGGTACTCCGTTGAGCAACGTGCGCACGCACGCACACATCTTACCGAGATCGAAATTTGTACGTAATAAAAAAATTTTACATATCGGGCAGGATTATATACACTTCACGTTCATTCTGTAATTAAGGACATTCTGTAATCAAACAATGAAATTCATCCGACGTGCTGACCCGAAAAATGGCAGGGTAATAAAAAAGGCCGGGTATAATGTTACGAACATACGTTGCAAATTTCTTTTTTAATGCTTACAACACCTCAGGCGGCATCTCATTGTATTATATAAGACATACGATTGGGACTTTAACGACTTAATCTCTCCTCTCTTTCCTTTATAGGCCTAGTTTACACCGATCTCTTGATACGCGTATCAAATAGTATATTTGAACTGATCAACCAATAATCAGACTTATTTACTAGTTATTTACTATTTAATACGCGTATCAAGTGATCGGTGTAAACTAGGCCATAGAAATTTAATACTGTAAGTGATTTTTTGGGTAGTAATTAATCACTTAAAAGCACTATTAAAAACACTGTTAATAGTGCTTTTAATAGTGCTTTTAAATGATTAATCACTAGCCAAAAAATCACTTACAGTATTAAATTTCTATAAGGGTTCTGTTTCTGGTTCTGTTTCTATAAGGGAGGTTAATTCTTAAGTACTTGTGCCGGATCAGTGCGATTTAATGGACGTTCCTCTCAATTGTACTTTTTTTTTAAGAAAAAAACGAAAGAACTAGTCTCATGCGCGCTCCGATAAAAGGACTTAAATTTGATAAAAATTTAGCATAAAATCTGCTTTTTTTATCTCGGATTTCGCTTTTCAGAAAGATAGAATTGCAAAATTCCTGAGTCGAGTACATATCAAGAACAAAAAAATTAAAAATATGACTTATTTTTAACATATAGAGCTGTCACCTGACGACAATGTTTACTTAATACAAGAATTCTACAAGAATTTATACACATAAATTTGTCAGGTCACGCTAACTCCCGTAAGATTGGCGGTCTAGTTGTAAGAATTATAAAAAGATAAGAAGTAAGTTAAACTGAGATTAAAGTTAATCCGCATTGGTAGACATGGACATTAAAGTGTCGGCTGACATCACGATTAAAGTAAAAACGTTAATTAAAAAAAAAACTATTTGATCACAAACGTTAAAAACGGACTCACAATCAATCACAAACGAAATACAATTAGAAAAGTTAAAAATAATCAAATTTAGTAATTTCTGTCGGCTAGCTTCATAGAGGTACCCAAACTCTGAGTTTGGTCAGAGAGAGAAGTTTGAGAGAAGCCATCCCAGCCTTTTTCGTGGGACTATCAAAACCCCCTGTACACTATCGCCAATACATTCATTTTTAAAATTGGTACTACGTATAGACACGTTCATTTTCCGACACTGCCGATAAAACATATGATTCTGTAAATGTAGTGGTGTTATACATATATATACACAACACCAATAAAAATGGCCGGGATGGCCTCTCTCAGGTTTGATGTTTCCACCGCAAGAGCGCTCACCCCAACTCAACTCTGACCCGGTTCGAAACCTCGATGGAAACTTAGGGGCTGCGCATAATGTATAAGGTGTATCTTTTTGCGCACATAACAATGAAAGGAATAAGGGACAGGGATTTTCTATTCCTTACATTGTGCGCAGCTCCTTACTTACGGTCAGAGAGGCTTCTCTCTGCCGGTGTATACACCATCCTCACTTTCGTTGAACCATCGGCATCGGTCAGTTCGAGCAGATCGAGTAAAAATATTCAGATTTGCGAGAAAAAATGAATGACGAGAATGCACGCTGCGCTTACGACGGCGAGGAATATGCACAATTGTCACTGGTGCAACTCCCGGTGGAGGTTTGTATAAGAAAAGAAAACGTCGATTTTCTCGTATTTCACGTACACGTGCACGAAATTCTTTTTCTTAATCGTCGCTATTATTTCATCCGTCAGGGCGCGCATCATGGAACTCTTCAGAATGAATTTCGATCAAAATTATTCCATTTTCTCTATAATAGACATATAATAAAAATCTAGAAAAGAACTAAACCATTCCGAAATAATTCTGCAGTAAGTACGCAGTAGTCACTTGTCGACGGCGTAGAGTATGCTCACATTGCTTACTCAGTAACGGTCAATAACTCTATCTTTCGTTCTGTCTCCGTCTCTTTTGGAACATTTGTTTGGTTGTGCGTTTAATTATTTTATTGGACTGCATTTCAGATGTTCCTGCATATATGTTCCTTTCTAGATGCGTCGACGTTGGTGCACAGTTTGAGCTTAGTGTGCAAACAGTTCTACCAGATTTTAAAGGATGATGATTTACTGTGGAAAGCGCGAATTGACCATATATTGCCGAATGCTAGTCACTCGCTTTTGTGTCCCGGTTAGCTCAAATTGATAGTACTTTACGCTACAACCAATCCTTTTCGTCAGTAAATAGAACATTCTCTATGTCATTTTACGCCAGCGCTGTCCGAAGCATTTGCAAGTCATACATTAGCTGCTTAGCTCGTGTTAGATTTTATTTCGTAGTATAATATTTGTTCGTCTTAAAAAAATAAGCGTGTTTTACAAAACATATATTTCTTACTTACAAAGAGTCACATGAAACAAGTTTGAACAACTCCGTTTATTGCAATAACTTGATATGCATAAAGTAAGAACGTGAATAGATCTCTCGGTTTAGAATGTTTTTGCAGTTTATTTGTACTTAATTCAAGTTGCACGTATATAAATTTTTTTGTACTCAGTATTACCCCCGATAGCAATATCCTATAAATATTCATATAACGTCCATGGGCATTCTAGACATAATATGGACATCCATAGGATATTGTGTGCTGTCTGCACTCTCAGAAAAGAATTCTAGATACAATACTATTAGGATCGAAATAGGGCCAATCATATTTAGTATTGAAAGAAGAATATTTTAATCTTAAATAAAGGAATTCTTAAATTAGACTTCTAGAAAAAAGAATATTTTAATCTTAAATAGAGATATTCTTAAATCTAGAATAAAATAATCTTGATGCTATCCCTCTAATTTTCTCAGAATTATTCTAGATTCAAGAATTCCTCTATTTAAGATTAAAATATTCTTCTTTTAATACTAAATATGATTGGCCTTATTTCGATCCTAATAGTATTGTATCTAGAATTCTTTTCTGAGAGTGTGGGACGGTACAAATAAGTTTTCATATTCTTTTGATATAAAAAGTCAAGTCTTTACAGAGAGGCCCGACAACTTTTGGAAGTTGTCGTGCGTTGCGATCGAGAAACAAACAGCGCTGTGGAAACAGCAAAATTCTATGGAGAATCTGAGATTTCCGGGTCTTTGCAGAAATGAAAATTCTGTGTTGCTGATGCCCGTAGTAAGTAGCATATTAAAGAGTTTTTGCAATACCGTCTGTCAGATGTGTATCTGAAAACGTATATGATGATTCTCATTTTCAGGATGGAATCACTTATTTAGTTGGTATAAAAGATTGCAACTTATTTTGCAAGAAACTTTCTTATCGCGAGGAACCCTTTTACGAAGTCAAGGCCCTCTGGAGGTCTGCGTTTGGAGTAGAAAGTCTGACGGCGATAAACCACACGGTCTACCATAGTTGTCCAGATCATACGGTCAAATCGTGGGTGCTCACCAACACCGGTCTCGTCCATGACAGAACTTATGATCCAGATCCGTACGTGGTAACAAAACTCTTTTTTTCGGCCACTTCGCGATAAGAAGAGTGAGCAAGGAAGATAATTCCTCTTTGTGGAAGAAATAATCGTTTTCCTTTAAATTATTCGAATGCAGATATCTCGTTCCGTGTCTCGCTTGTCGACGTGATTCCAAAGTTCACTCGTTAAGTCGAATTTACTTCATATTACCACTTCACGCGTATTTTTTTCATCAACGTCAAATATTTCAAGAGCGTGACCTCTGAGAAGGTAACCCCGCATTTGTTAAATTTTGAGTTATTTTTTTTAGCCGTACCATATTGAACTACGGAAACAATATTTTGAACTGTATTCAAGAAAACTAAGAAATATAAAGTTTTGTTAGCTCAGCATTATTTCCCGATTGAGCTCAATTTTTTGTAGTAAAAAAATGCTAATCTGAGCCATATTGTGCCGTTGAAAACACATCGATATATTTATTCATTTAGTAGAAAAGGAAAGAATAATAAATATAACACGAATAAACAAAAAGATACTAACTTAATATCACACGTTGTGCCATTGGAATAATATCGATATATAATCTATTTATTAGAAAAAAATCGAAAAGTAAACATAACGAAAATTTGACATTTTCAAATGAATAAAAAGTTATGCTGTCAAATTTTTTATTATTTACCTCTTTTGTTAAATTTTTTCAACTCTCTTAATTTTTTTGTACTTGTTTCGATTGTCGCTCAATTCGGTTTTAACATAAATTTTTTTTATTAAGCGGTCTGATAGATCATGGCATACTTTCTTTGTAAACTTTTTGAATTTTTGCAATATCTTCAAAATTGAAGAAAATATAATACACGAAAATGTGCTGTAATGTCATACCTTATATACAAAATCTTTTGAAGTTGCCGTCATCAAAGAAACTTTAGCAAGCTATAACTTTCTCAAAAGGTTTTTTTTAAACTTCAACTTTTTCAACTTTAGGTTTTTTTTTAATTCAAAAAGTACTAAAAATCGGCTTAGATTTTCTACATTAATTATGGATACCGCTTAAAAAAAAAAAATGTTAAAACAATTTACAAAACTAGATTATCTGTCACGGTTCGGATGGTATGTAGAGTTTCGAATTTTTTTTATTCCGAAAATCAAACCGGTGTTTACATTGTCGTGGTGCCACTGCCGAGATCAGACGTGAGATGTAAACGTACGCGCGTGAGTCGACGCTACGGTCCATTCCTAATATCGCCGTATATAATAATCAAACATGCTTGGTTTGATTTTTATATGTATACGGCTCATGTGTCTCACACTTACACCTGATTTCGCCCGTGGTTCCACGACAATGTAAACACCGCTTAAGTTCTTAACAAAAGCTGTATTTTAAAGTCTAATAAATTGATGAGATTTTTTTGTCATTAGAAAAAGTTGTTGTACTTGTCAAGCACAACCCGACACAACTTAAAAAATTCAAAAATGTCAAATTTCTGTTTTATCTTTTTTCTTATGATTGATTTTTTTTTATTAACACACCTTGAATTACGGCTATTGTTTTTTTGTGTTTTGCTATCAGCACACTATACTATGTATAACTCGTAGAAATACAATAAATTGTGTTATAACTATGTTTATTACTATTATATTTATTTTTCGATTTTTTTCTAGTAATGGATAGATATATCGATGTTTCTTCAACGCCGTAACATGGCTCAGATTAGCATCTTTTTACTACAAAAGCTGAGCTTAATCAGGAAAATAGTACAGCTAAAATTTTATATTTTTCAATTTTCTTGATTCTAACTCGAAATATTGTTTTGGTATTTGTGGCAAAAATTAGTAAAATTACAGTCAAATGCATAGTTAAAAAAAACTCTAAATTCAATAAATGCGAGGCTAACAAAGATTTTGTTTTTTGTTATTTATTAAAATATGCGCTTTTTTAGCTGTCAAGATGAGATTTGCCACAAAATAGCAAAAAATGTATAACAATGTATAGTACAATTAATAAAGATTAAAATTCAAAAAATGCGGGTTTATCTTCATAGAAAGTGCGACTTAATGATTGCGTCGATGATTGGGACTTCTGATTCGACGCGATGTATGTCATCGTGTCCGGAGCAGGCCCGCTTTGCGATCGGCGTATACGACGGGACAATATACGTGTACGATTCGAGATCGAGTAGTAATAAGCCGATCAGCCAGTACCAACCCGAACGTTCATCAGTGACTAACCTGGCCATGAACGCAGAATACATCTTGTCCGCTAGCTGTGGCGGGAGGGTATCCATTTGGGATCAGAGAGCCGGACGGATCATGAAGTCTATCACAGTAATGTCATCCTGTAGTCTTAACATCGAGAAATAAGACGGGATTATGATGTCGAAGGTGCACCTTTAGATTCCAGGTTCCATCGGATTCCCGATTCCAGTAAAAGCGTACCCCACGTACATTGATATGCGACGGGATTTGGTTTGCGTTGGGGACAACGAGGGAAAATTGCACATGCTAGAACCAAAGAACGATTTCGAGCTAGTGAAATCTTATTCCACCGAGCATACGGACGAGATAACGGGAGTGCGTCTGACGCACGGATGCCTGATAACGAGTTCCCTAGACGGCACCGTCAGAATTTCGAGTCCTACGGATCCGCCAAAGCTCATCGCTACTTTAGAGGATGAATACAGCGGAAAATATATTTACAGCGTGAGTATTACAAGCGTAAAAATTGTCGAAAGTATCATATCTTTGACTTTGAAGAAAAAATTCGTGAAATATCTACGTATAAAGTGAGAAATACAGTTGAGTGCAAGACGTTCGGCAGTTCGAACGTTGAAATTTAAATTATTACTTACATTTAATAAATTATGAAATCAGGTTTTATCTTTGTTTTCCGAATGTTGGTGAAAGCCTTCTTAAGATTGACGACATTCTTACATGTCTTATTTTGCAATATCCAACACGAACTTTGTTAGATATTGTAATTTTGTGTTTTTATATTGCAGATGGACTACCTGAATGACACTCTCGCGATAGCAGGCAAAAGTATCGTCGTATGGCGGCCGAGAAATCGACGTGTTTAACGAATCATCAATGAACAAAAAATTTCTATACGTTTTTTATAACTATTCTATAGCATTATTGCTTTGATATGTGATATGTGTTCTTATATTCTTTCTCATAATTATACTACTTTGACGTCTCTCTAATATACGCAATGTGATAGATACCGTTTCGCGAAATTAAAAGTAGATATTGTTTTGTTGGAAATTCGTTTCTGTAATTAAAAGCTTCACTAACATCGTTTACGATTAAAAGCTAGGCTTATAATTAACAGCGTATTCATGTTGAGATCTTTTATGTTGCAAAGAATAAGAGAAAACATATTACTATATAGTTAAGTTCCATAAGCATTTAAATATATATTTTATATATTGCATTAGCGCATGACGCGTATCGTATCATTGTTTTGTTCTGTAAATTTTTCTGACAAGACGTTATATTTTAATAGCACGCATTTTCTTATATGATACTGTGTGCGTGCACACTCGAGAAGCGGCGATGTACTAGACGCTTATTTATAACATTTATAAACAAAATACAAATCGTTTATTCTAGTAACAAATAACTTTCCTTATCCTTTTTTCGTGCGCCGATATTTATGCCTCTCCTAATCGTTATCGGTCCCATGAACGTGGAATTTAAATTCTCTGGGACGTCACATGCCGTATGTATCGCATTACGTTCCCATGGTCGAAATTATATCTCGCAGCTCGATGGACTCCATATATTAATATAATAATTATTTCTTTTTCGCATAAAACTGTGCACCTGCAGATTCAAGAAGAGGCGATGTTTAAAGACTCTTACCAGACTCTTTTTTATAACATTTATATCCAAAGTATAAGTCGTTTATTTCAGTAACATATTAAGTAACTTTCCCCATTTCTTCTTCGTGCGCCGAAAATCGTCGTAGATTCTGTGAACGTGGGATAGAATTTTAACTCAACATTAGAACGCGTGATCGACGTATCACATGACGTTCCTATTGTCGGAATTTCTTACGTTGGAGATTAATGGACTCCGTTAAGTTTATTAAATAAACAAGCAAAAATCATTTTTCTCTACTTGACTAAAGAGTCGAATGCATGTCAATCGAGACATGTGCACTTTTTATGCGACACTGTATTACTGTATAGGTGGCGTCGCTTGTGTGTAATTCACCGGATGCACTTGAATACGCGATGCACGGTTCTTCCGTATTTGACCACTCTCAATCGCCTTTCGGTCTTTGTTGAACCACCACGTCAGTCTCGAGCAGATTGAATGACAATACTCGGATTCGCACGGTTCGAGAAAAATGGATAACGAGAATGCAAGCTGCGCCCACGACGACGAGGAACATGTACAATTATCACTGCTTTGTCTCCCGGTGGAGGTTTGTAGAAAAAAAGTTGATTCCCGTGTTTCGCGTATATATACACGTACCGTCTCGAAATTCTTTTTTTTACCGTTTTTATGGAACTTTTTGGAATAAATTCCGATTGGAATTATTCCGTTCTTTTTTTTTTTTAGAAAGCACGATGGAAATTTAAAGAAAAAACTATAAACAATTTTTCGATCAAAATCTATTCCGAAAAGTTCCATAATAAATCTCCAGTAGTCACATATTGATGAAGTAAAGAATGTTGGACCAGCGATAAACTACTCTTTCTTTCTCTTTCTCTGTCTTTCTCTCTCTCGTTCTGTCGCCACCTTTTCCGTTGGAATATTTGTTTGGGCTGGGCTGCGTTCGAAAAGTTTACTCGAGTGCACACCGCGTCGTTCTATCTTTGTTACGTACTAAAAATTGAACAAGGACAGGGTAGCAATCATGTAACTTTTTCCCTAGAGCAGAAACGTGAAAAGTGAAAAGTTTCATGTAACTATAATCTTTTTCTATTGGTGTTGAATAGAAAGAGATAAATTTTTCACTTTTCACGTTTCCGTCCTAGGAGAAAAGATACATGACCGATCCCCAAAACGACACTGGTGTGCAATTTCGACGCTATGAGAGCACTTTGGCTGTTCGTGGAGCTGTTTTGTGGAACAGCGTTATGATCACTGCTTGTGCGTTGCGACGTCATCACCCGCGCTCCGAGATAGAGCGCGAAATGCTCGCAGTACTCATAGCACTATAACGTCTTCCCTGATCATTGTGTGAGCATCTACTTTTGTCTCACTCAACTTGCACAAGTGCACGTGTTGTTTTCAGTCGACTTTAACCGTATCGACCTCAATACTAGATAAGTAATAAATATATATGTAATATATTGAATAATTGTTATTAAATGAAAATTATTTCACGTCATCGTCTGTAATTTATATAATATTACATTTACATACTGTGGCAAGAATGAACAATATATAAGATACGAATATTATATATACGATCTTGTACTATACTCGTACATCTTTACTGCTCGTAAAATGGCAAAGAATACAATTGCACGTACATATTGTACATGATAGAATAAAACAACAATTATATATCCCTCCCTTGGCTTATACACCTGCCGCGCACAACAAAAATCATTTGAGGAGATTGCAACCATACGTGGACACCACAATAGCTCCCCGAATTAGCGTTTGGATCTAGCACGATAGTGAGCTCCCCGAACGCACATTGTTGAGCGTTTAATTATTTTATTGGACTATATTTCAGATATTCCTGCATATATGTTCCTTCCTAGACGCGTCGACACTAGTACACGGTTTGAGTTTAGTGTGCAAACAGTTCTACCTGATTTTAAAGGATGATGCCTTACTGCATATGTGGAAAGCGCGAATTAACCAGATATGGCCGAATGCTACCCACTCGCTTTTGCGTCCCGGTTAGCTCAAATTGATAACACTTTACGCCTTGCATGATCAATTATTTTTATGAATAAATAAAACACTCTATAAGTCATTTTACGCCAGCGCTGCTCGAACTTGCGCAAGCATATGCAAGTCGTTGTTTACATCGCGTTAAATTTTATTTCGTACTTAGTATTTTATTTCTTGAAAAAAAATAAGCATGTTCTAAAAATATATTATACATTTCTTATTTATAATAAATCGCATGGGGCAGTTCCATTTATTGTAATAACTTTATATGCATAAAGTAAAAACGTGAATAGATCTATATCAAGAATGTGCTTGTAGCTTATTTGTACTTAATTCCTCAATAGGAAAATTATGCAAATATTGTTACAATAATTGCATCATTCAATTGAGAGGAATTTATTTCACAATTATTGTGCTAAGATGATTCCTTATAAGCGTTCTTGCATAAAATTTCTGAATAATATATATTTACACAAAAATTGAGAAGTTCAATTTTAGGCTTAAATTTTACACAATTATTTCAACATTTAGAAGCAAAATTACTCCAGCACACTTCAGCAAACATCGATAGATAACAGTTACATATATAGATATCATTGTTCATTATTATATTTTACATACGAAAAAAATGCCATCTATATATATAAATATATATATCAGCGACCCAGCACAGAATATGCTACGAATAACACATAATAAAATTCAATTATATTTCTCAATTATTTCGCAATTTCTTTCCAAATTTAATTTTGCAAATATTCCGCTAAGATAGTTCTTCATATCGCTGCTATCTTGCTGAAATATGATTTAGAAATTATTTGTGCTAATATTTATCAATATATGCACAAAGGTCTAAATTTCTATTAGTGTTGCTGCAAATATTGAGACATAATTGTAGCACTCTCAATTTCGTCATATGATGTTATATGAATATTTTTCTATCAGTATAATTGTATATATATATGCATTTTTTTTGTACTTAATATTATAATACAAATAAGCAGCTTTCGTCATATTTCTTACATATATATGAAGTCATGTGTCATTACAGCGAGACCCGACAAACTGTTTTGGAAATTGTCATGCGTTGCGATCGAGAAACAAACCGCGCTATGGAAACAGCAGGATTCTATGGAGAAATTGATAAATGTGGATACAACTGGGGACAAACGTTACAGTACATACGTCGATCCAGTGTTACTGATGCATGTAGGGTATAGTATATTATGCCATCCCAGCAAACACCCTGTAACATGTAATGTAGACGTTAGTTGTAATTTCCTACTCAACACGTGTGTTATATTGCATTTATATTGTTGAGTAGTATATGTGTTTTTGGCCATCTCTCCTTGTGAAAAACGATATAATGATAAATCTCGTTTTCAGAATGGAACCATTTGTATTGGTGCAGGAGAATTGGGCACTTTGATTTACTGGAAACTTCCCTCCCGCGAGGAATGCTGTGATGAAATTGGAAACACCGGTTACATCCATCTCGCGTATGACGACTATATGCTAGATCTGACGGCGATAGACAACACGATTTACAGTTGCAGTTCCTATGGAGTCAGGACGTGGATGCTCACCAACACCGGTCTCGTCCATCAGAGGACTTACGATATGTATGCGATAGCAAAACTGTTCCTTTCGGCAGCTTCGTGATAAGAAGACTGAGCCAGGAAGATAATTCCTGTTTATAGAAGAAAAAATTGTTTCCCTCCAAATTGTTCGATTGCAGATACTGCGTTCCGTGTCTCGCTTGTCGAGACAAATGATTTAGAAACGTGATTATAAAGTTTACGTGTCAAACTGTATTCACTGCATATTACCATTTCGCGCGTATCATTTTCCATCAACGTTAAATATTCTAGAGATGAAATAATGCCGGAGGGCGTTGATGCAGATCTACAGTGCATATCATCGTGCCCAGAACGAGCCCTCTTTGCGACCGGCTATTCCGACGGAACTATATGCGTGTTCGATTCGAGATCGAGGAATAAGCCGATCAGGAGGTACCGACCAGGCACCGAACCCGTGCGTCAGCTGGACATGAACACGGAATACATCTTGTCCGCCGGCTCCGGCGAGATCTTATTCGATCATAACCTGGTGACCACGGTGTCGGTTTGGGATCAGAGAGCCGGTCGGATCGTGAAGTCTATCATAGTAATTTCATCCTGTACTTTTTAATATGGAGAAACGAGACACGATTACGATGTCTAAGGTGTGCTTTTTAGATTCCAGGCGAAGAAGTGTATCCCATGTGCATGAGTATACAACGAGATTGGGTTTTCATCGGCGACCAGATGGCGAAGTTGCACATGCTAAATCTAAAGAGTAATTTCGAGCTAGTGAAATCTTATTCCACCGAGCATACGGGCTGGATAACGGGGGTGCGTTTGACGCATGGATGCTTGATAACGAGTTCCAGGGACGGTACCGTCAGAATTTCGAGCCTTGAGGATCCGCCAAAGCCCATCGCTACTTTACGTTCGAAGTTCAGAACCATCTTGAGCGTGAGTATAAATATATGCACGCGTAAGATTTGTCGAAAATACCATCAACTTCGAAGGAAGAAATTCGTTAAACGTTTACGTATAAAATAAAAAACACAGTTTGATAATTAAATTTTTACTTATATTTAAATTTTGAAATCAGGTTTTATTTTTGTCTTCTGAATGTTGGTGAAGTCTTCCATAAGATTGACGACATTCTTACAGGTCTTATCTTGCAGTATCATGAATTTTATTAGGTATTATATGTAATTGTTCGTGTTTTTGTATTGCAGATGGATTACCTGAATGACACTCTCGCGATATCCAGCCATTCAGTGCTGCCGCATTCAGGTATCGAGGTATGGCGCCCAAGATCGAGATGTAATGTATATTCTTAGTTTTTATTAAGATACTGTTCGGACGCGTCTCCTTAATGTACAATGTAATATACCTTTCCGCGAAATTATAAGTACGTATCATTTTGTTCAAAATTCCTTTTAGTAAAAGTTTCACTTATATCTTTTGGGTTTATAAGCTGAGTGATAATCATAGCTATATTATTATAAGCTCAGCTTGTAATTATAGTTTGTAATAATACCTAAATCTTTTACGTTGAAAAGAATAAAAGAAAATATGTTTTTATACTTTATAGTTAAGTGCCATATTCATTTGAATATATTTTACACATTGTATTATCGTATATCATATCATTGTTTGTTATTCTGTAAATTTTTTGGACAAGGAGTTAAGCGTCCCCCCCCCCGTTTGATCGTTGCGATTGTCCACAGCCGCTCATAGTCCCCGGTGTTTGGAGTTTTTCCACTGGACCAGTCAATTAGATAATTTTATTTTAAATCATCCAATTGACGACGTGATCAATTGAGTCCCACTCGGAGTTATATTATATATATTAATATAATTTATTTCTTCTTTATATATATAAAACTGTGCACCTGGAGATTCGAGAAGAGGAGACGTTTAAAAACTCTTACCAAACACTTGTTTTATAACATTTCTAACATTTGTAACATTTCTAAAGGAAATACAAATCGTTTACTCGAGTAACAAATAATAACTTTCCTCAATTAAGAAATTTTCAAGCACAAAGGATTATCTTGTAACGAAATTACGATACGATATAACTTTTGTCACTTTGCCATAGATTTGAAACGTTGCCGCTACGATCGCACGCACATTTTATTGTACTAGATATCACAATCATAGACGCACACTACGCGCACGCTATTTAGCTTTAATATTATACAGTTACTATTACACTATTATATTTTTTTACATACATGTATATATAAATTAAAATTTAAAATTTAAAATTTAAAATCTTTAAATATCCTCTGATATATATACAACCTATAGAGGCCCACCACCACCCCCGCCGATTCCGATCAGCGGTCCTCTTTCATTTACGATGTTTTTTTTTTTACATTTTTATTATATACATTTTACATTTATTATATACATGTGACGACTTCGAGACGGCATACAGAAAAAAAAATGATGTTGTATCAACATCATTAGAGCTAATTGGAAATAATTTTGTTAATTTAATAATAGTATTAATGAAACAATATTTATTTTATTAAAAGAAATACTTATTTTATTAAAAACAAAAGGATGACGTTTGAAATAACAAGATTATTTCCAATTAAGGGCCAAAGCACATATGACAGTCGTAGTCGTGGACGTAAGTAATGCACAAGCTTTGGCGTATCCTGATTTGTCAGGTCGAGGACTACGACTGTCGTATATCGCTACGCCATGTTATGTGCCATGTTATGTGCTTTGACCCTAACTCTAATGCTATTGATACAACATCATTTGTTTCTCTGTGTACTTTCGTAAATGCGCGATAAACCATTTATACAATCGGCGGCGATTGCTATTTCAGTACTATTGTAGGACAGTCGACTACAATGTATTATTCGATATACAATGTAAAATATTAAATATTGTCCTCACGCTTGTATTTTTTGGAAGATAACAATTTTTGCTCCAAAGTTTAACTATATTTAACTATAGAAAAAATTATACACAGAGAAAAATAATTATTTAAGTTTAAGTAAGTTTTCTGACAACAAAGAATATTTTCTTACTAATAGTTTTCAAATATCTTGACACAAGCCAAGAATTTTGTTTTGAGTAAATGTGATACTTATATTGATTTTATGGTATATTTGCGGATATATAAGCTTACCAAATACTTAATCCGCAAATCTACCAGAAAGTCATTACAAGCATTACATTTACTCAAAACAATACTCTGGTTTTCAAAGATTTGTGTCAAGATATTTGAAAACTGTTAGTTAGAATATATACTTTGTTGTAAGAAAACTTACTTAAAATAAATAAAATAAAATAAGTAAGTGCTTTCCTTGGCTATAGAATGATTTTATTTTTATGTGTGTATTTTGTAATATATGAATATTAATCTTAATTACATCCCGCAAAAAATTGAAATTTATAATAGTGGATGAAACTAAAAAATTAATAATAAAAAATTTTTTTAATGCAAAAACCGACTACGAAAATATGAAGATGCGTAATTGTGTATGTTGTTCATGCGGTACGCATCTTGATAATGTATCAAGTAAGATATACAGAATAAATTACGTGAGATTAAAAAAAAAGAAGAAATTTTCCGTACAGTTATTAGAATTATATAATTAATGAATAATCGAATTGTTATAATTAAATATGATATGCAAATCTTTATAAACTTTTATATCGGTATAATATATCTCGTCATATTTTTTATTTTCTACCAAAATTATTTTTGATATATTTATATATATATTATTGCAAAGTTGAATATATAATTGTATTATACGATCAATTCTAAAATAATTTAAAAAGTTTCAGCGTTTCTCGACAGAATCTTTATAATCTCACGTCATATATTACTTGACCGGTATAAAGTAAATTTCTCAATCAAAAATAGATGGATAGGCTACCAAAAATTAGGGTAAAATCGGTGCTTTGTTAAAATAAATGTTAGTAATTAATTACATCGCGTCTTCTATAAAATAAATTGCATAACAAAACCAAAATATTTCTTATTCTTTTTATTATATATCTACATATTGCTTCCTTGCATCAACTTTTATAATATTTAATCTTGGCTAATTGTAAGTATGTGGAAAGGAATAGAAGGGTATAAATAACACAAATTCCAACTAATTTATAATTTTTCTCTACCTATAGACATTTTTATTGTAACACAATATCTTACTCTTTTGTTCAAGAAAAATAATACAAAAATAATTTTATAAAAGATCTAAATAAAAATTTTATATTTTCAAAATTATTACTTTAATTGTGATGGTATTACTTATTTACTTCTTATTTGTTTCTCAAAAATATTTATTACTCTAATTGTAAGTAGAATTGATCTACGTAACAAAATTTAACTTATTATATTGTGTAATTTGCTAATTTAAATTCGCGAAATAAAATTTTGATTCGATATATAACATTTTATTTAAGATTTAAAATTTTATTAAAAAATTATTTATATAGAACGCGACCGTTTGTCAACATAATTCAACAATAATGAGCTCTTTGCGAGCTATATGCGTGCGAAGTGTGCGAGTATTTCCTCAAGCACAATCGCACAATACATTAATAAACAAGTGACCAAGATTAAATATTTACCGTAATTAGTTTTAGCCCATCCATTTTAAGGCAACGTATCTACGAGATAAATTTACACTATAATTTATTGTCACAATTTGACATGTACCGAGATACATTTGCTCTATACTTGATTAATTTTATCGTAGATTGGTTACCTCAATAAGAAAAATTTCTGACTCACCAATCCGATGCGCAACGGGCGGAGTTATTCAGCAACGTAGCTACGACGATACTGTAACACACAAACATAATTTAAATTAAAGAAACGTTCAAAATGATCAATATCTCAAAAGATAATTCTTATTCGCCTCTAATCCGTCTTTCAATGAGATATTTAGTAATATAATTATCTATTTTCAGAGAAAGCTCTTTACAAGAGTAAAATTTTATATAATTTCTCTGTCTTTATTTATTTCTAACTTATTGAGATAAGACAATAATTCGAATAAATGGAAAAGAATTATTAATTTTATGAAGCTAAGATAGATATGATACTCACCCCAAGGTTGCTTCGCCGGGGCCCGATGTCTCTCTCAGACCTCCTCCTCCTCTCAGGACGTTAGATCGCCTCCTCTTTCTTCTCCTCTTCTCACAGGTCACTCGCGAGAAACACTCGCGGATAATAAACTACGATCGCGCGCGGACTAATTATATTAGCAAAAGTCTTTCGCGCGATACTGTACGGCACTCCCGTTTAAAAAGCCTATGAGAAGAATATTTCGTCAAGTATGCCATAATATTCTTCAAATAAGCTTTGAAAAAGTTCTGTAGTCCGATTACTTGAACGGCACTCCCGAAGCAAACGCGACGAACCGGCTGCGGTTCGTTTAGTCAATTATTAAATCGGCGGACTTCCACCTCCTCTCAGGCTGCTCGAGATGTCCATCGTGTTCCGTCGATGCGAAGTTGATGGTCCTTCCAGCGTGGATATTTTCTGTAACATAAAAATAATCGAATCGATTAAATAATTGTCACGCGCATCGAACATCTTATTCATTATTCAGATTAATGTTTTCTTAAATTACTTCTCCGAAAAAGGTCTCTACGTTAGAATCAACTTGAATCAAATTTTTCAAATTATTTCTTTTTACTAATTTATATTTCGAAACACGGTTTAATGTAGCAACTAAATAAAAACAAACGAAAAAAAAATTCTATAATATCTTTAGAAAAAATAAAAAATAACACTTACCAGAAGTGTTAAGTACGCCGATGCCCGATGCCTCTCCTAGGCCTCCACCTCCTCTCAAGCTGCTCGAGATGTCCATCGTGTTCCCTCGATGCGAAGCTGATGGTCCTTCCAGCGTGGATATTTTCTGTAACATAAAAATAATCGA